TCTTCCTTGGTAGTCAAAACTGGTTACAACTTCCCACAGGGGACCCACTGCTCTGCTGCCTAACTTCTCCTTAGGCCTCTGCTGTGGGAGGATCTTCCTCACTCTTTACAACAGCAGTCTGATAAGGATCTGTCTTGCAGGTACATGTTTCCATTCCTGTGACCCCTCCCTTCCACACAGGTGGCTGGGCTTACTCAGTTGGATATCTTTTCACCATCCTTTGTCAATGCCATTCAGGTCTGTTATCTGTAGGTGCGGGGGTTGTTTGGTTTGTTCTAAAATAAATAGTGAGCAGAAGAGAATTCGAATATTCTTGATGCTGTGCTGAAGACTCATTAGGATAATGTAATGGATATTCTTAAGCAAGAACTGGCCATAGAGGTAAGAGTTGATCTGAAACCAACATGAAAATCAGCCTACCCCTTGTTATAGATTTCAGTAGATCAAGGCAGAATATAAGAAAGCCAGGCAGCAGACCAACATATCAACAGCCTCTATTTCTTGCTTAATTTTCATGGAAATGTGTATTTGAGGAGACAGTGGGGAGAGTCAAGTAGATCTGCTTGAATCCGATGACAGAGGAAAGACCTTGAAAGATTGGAGACAAAAGAATGAAGAAGGAACTCTCATTCAGATCCATCGTACATCCCCACAAGCATTTAGATTTGGGGTTAATTTAATAAAGAAAGAGACTGAAGTCCAGAGAGTTCTTTCCAGTTGCTTCATTGCTAATAAGATTTATCAGTGCTTTGTGTACACTGATTTCGCAAATTATAATACTACTACCTTTTGAATGTAATTGTGACATTTTTGAGTTAACCTCAGAAGCCCGTCTCTTGTTTCTCTGACGGTGATGAAGGATTTTTACTGCTCCATCCACCCTTAGACATTTGTACCCTTTTGGCTAGGAACATATTGTGACATGTGGGTTGGGGCGTAGCTTTTTCTTGGCAGACCTAAGAGATTGTCCTGAGAGTGTGCAGGAAGAGGTTGCCAGGTAATTGCTAAAAGGCCGGAGGGTGAAGGGCAGCTGTCTGTAGGAACTTGCCAGCCCACATGTTACATCACGCTATCGATGCTCGTCTGTTGGAGTCTCTAATCCATAAGATAAAAGCCAGGCTGTTGGAAACCTTCCACGGGGCTTTTGCTACTGACGCCCTTCTTACCTTGCATGGAAGCCAAGAGAGTTCCCCGTGGGCTAGTCCAGGCCCAAGTGCAATAGTTCTCAAAGATTCTTCATACGCTGTCAGAGATGATATAATGGAGCAGTTAGTTATGTCCGTCTCAGAGACAGACCAGGGTTTTAACGTCAGTTCAGGAGTTTACTATCTGTATGACTTGCAAGAAGTACTTAACCTGTCTGAGCTTCAGTTATCCCACCACCAAAATGGGCCAATAATATCTACTGTATAGGGTTACTGTGAGGACACCAAGCATCACACAACTCCAGGGGTTGCTGTTCACACAGGCTGCTGGAAATGGCAACGCTAGGAGTTGTGTGACACGGTAATGCCGGTTATTTTAAGTATTAAATATAATGATTCATGTGAAGAAGTTAGCATGGTGTCTGGGATAGTGTTTTTTTTAATTTTTTTTATTTATTTTTTCCCCCAAAGCCCCAGTAGATAGTTGTATGTCATAGCTGCACATCCTTCTAGTTGCTGTATGTGGGACGCAGCCTCAGCATGGCCGGAGAAGCGGTGTGTCAGTGCGCACCTGGGATCCGAACCCAGGTCGCCAGCAGCGGAGCACGCACTTAACCGCTAAGCCACGGGGCCGGCCCTGGGATAGTGTTTAAGAATGGAACCTAGTGTCATTCTCTCAGGCAATCGACTGTGATTTGCTGTTGTGCCATTTTGAAACCTGCTTCTAAGAAGGAAAATAGTTTGGGGCAAAGAAAACACAATCTGCAAAGACCTGAAGGTGAGAAAGTGTTGTCGTGTTCCGGGAAGGGAAAGAATTTCCATATTCTGGAGCTCAGCGGCCAGATCCTAAGAGGTCTGAACAGCTTATTGAGGAGTTTGGATTTGTCTACAGGGCAATTGGCAACCAATGAAGATTTTTAAGGGAATTGAGCAAGTCTGATCTGCACTAAGTTCATCTGCAGTGAACTTAGGAAGTTCATTTTGGCTGAAATGGAAAGAATGAAATGATGAGATTTGGCAGTAATTTGAAGGGAGTGGTTAATTGTATCAGTCCTGGAGACAGACACAGGTCCAAATCTCTGTTGGATGTTTACTATCTCTGTTCTACACTACTGTCTGTGACCAAATACTTAAGCTTTCTGATACTTACAGGTTCCCAAGACATTTTAAGTTGCAGATCTTCCAAAAGGATCACTACAAATGTTTCTTTCTCCCTTTTAAACTTTAGATCTCTACTGTATCATTTTATATACCTATGAGGCATTGGGATCATTTATAAATCAGATTTTTTTATAATGGGCAAAGGCTGGTCTCCTTGTTTCCACCTTTGACCCTATAGTCTATTCTCCACTGAACCAGCAGAGAGATCCTTTGAAAGGAAAAATCAGATCATATCACACTTCTGATCAGAACCTCCCTCTGATTCCCATTTCCCTCACAATCAAAGCCAGTGCCTTAACAGTGGCCTCAGTGCCCCTCAGGATCCATCTGCACTGTGTTCCCAGCTCCTGAACCCTGCTCCCCTCGCTCCTTGCCCTCTCATCACACTGGCTTCTCTGTGGTTCCTAGACTATGCAAAGTATAATTCCCGTCAGGGCCTTTGCACATACTTGGAATTTTCTTCCTATAGATTTCCACGAGGCTTGGTTCCTTGCTTCTTTCAGAACTTTGCTCAAATGTCACCTTCTCAGAGAGGCCTTCCTTAACCACCCAATATAAAATCTTACGTGCCATGTGCATGCACACAGTGACACACACACAGACTTGTACTGCTTCTCCCCTCCCCACCACTACAGCACTTTTTACCGTCTGACATTTATGTTTATTTGTTTGTTTCCTCCCCATTAGAATATAAGTTCAGTGAGGACGGACTGTGGTTTTTTTTTAATTCACTGATGAATTCTCAGGACCTAGAAGAGAGCCCAGCAGGTCATTCTAAAAAAAGTATTAGGCACTCATAAATATTTGTGGAATAAATGGCTGCATAAGGGAGTTGGAAGTAGATCTCCTGCTCCTCTTGCAGGCTGGTTCTGTGTCACCTTGTTTTAAGCAGAGATCCTACATCCCGCCCAAGCCTTGTAATGACTGAACAAGCAGATACACTGACCCTGAACTTCTGCATATTTTGAAAATATGCTAGTTCTATTTTTCAGCTTTTTATTTAGAATGGAATTCTTCCACCACAACCATCTGCTGTGTCTTCTTTAGTATGGGAAAAATGTCAAAGAAGCTTATCTCTTGATAGTGATGAGCTAAAAAGGGTTTTAGGCGATGATGGGCTCTCTGAGGGGCTGCCAGAATATGCTGGGCCAGAGAGGTTCTCCTGGGCCCTGGTGCAATTTTCACAGAAGCCACCAGCAGCAAACATGGGCCAGAGAACATAAGTGAATCTGGGGGCCACTCTCAGCCAGCCTGAGGCTGTGAAAGGCTCTAATCCAGCCCCACTTTTTACTTTTTATCAGGCCACAAAGCTATGTTCTGGCTTAGGACCCCTTCCTATCACCACTCTATCTAAAGTCATAACTGGCCCTTCCTGCAAGGCCTTCCAGACCAGGGTTACCCTGACTGGGAACAGACCCTCCTCTACTTCAGAGTCCGCCTGCAAGCCCTGGAGGCAGAGGTGATGGAAGGTCCCAGCTGAGTTTTGTCTGAGTGGATGGGTGAACTTGGGGCCGTGGTGGCTCAGTCCACCACGTTGCTGTGCTTACCAAGCTTTGTGCTGCTTAGTGACTGTTGCCATATCCCTAATTGCCTACAGCCCTTCATCATATGTATACTTTGTGGTCACTGTCATTCTGCCACATGAGCTAATTTAGATGGAATTGTTGCTCCTGCTTTTTTTGGTCACTTGAACCCTCTATAGAACTAATATGTGTTTTAGAATGACCATGGAAAGTATGACATTGACACCTAAAAGGAACATTTTATGGCTGGTAATGATGGTTTCACAGCCTGCCAGGTAAGAGTCTTACACAGCACTAGACCTGGGCCTGGTTATCTCCCTTTCCTGTTGTGAACAACCCACAGATTCTAAAGCGAGATCTGTACACAGATGTGAAGAATTGTGCTTGAAGAATCAGATGCCCAGCTGCTAATGTATCAGGAGACCTGGGCTTGCTGCAAATTAGGAGGAAATGTGCTCTCATCAAAACATGCTTTTAAAAACTGTACTTAATGTGTGGAAATATTGCATTGGAGCAGAATATTCTTTCCCTCGAGTACAAATACCATTGAGCTTTGATTGCAGGCAAGCTTCGAGATTTCTCTGTGTTTCCAGATAAGTGTGGAGCCATAGGACATGATTTCATGAAATGCAGTGTAAGATGTGCTCCAGAATTTAAGATCATCACTAGGCCTTGTGTTGGTAGGATTTTTAGAGTCTGAACTTCAAAGTATCAATTTTAATAAGGTGATTTTGGCAATGAAACAGTTTCTGGGAGGTAATTGTACTAAGTGAAATTTAAGAGAAAATCTGCTTTAGCAACAAGGAGAAAATTATTTAATGCTTCAAAAGTTTGGGGTTTTTTTTCTTATTGGCTGTTAGCATGCATAAATGTGTATTCAGTGAGGCAAGGCTATCATTGAACTTTTCATTTCCAATAAATCTGTTGTATATCTTGCTCAGTGAATGGGGACTGCAAGTCGAACATCCGTAAAGGGAGAGAATGAGTTACAAAGAATTACTTAATCGCTGATGGATTCGTAGAATAATGATTCACCATAGACGTTGTGATAGTCAAATACAAACGAATCATTGGTTAAAGTAATAAAAATAAATAATCAGACGCGCCTTGGGTCTGGCTCTAATGATGTGATTTTTTTTCCACCTTCCCTCCATCTTATTTTTACCAGTAGGTTGGGACAGTTGGAAGTCTGCCATTGTACAACATGCTGCGATTAAGTCTCTCACCCGCCTTTTCGATGAGATTTCGTCTGTTGGCCATCGTGGCTCTCTTATTTTTCCATGTGGACTATATAAGTGCTGAGACAGAAATGGAAGAAGAAGGCAATGAAACCGGTGAATGTACTGGCTCATATTACTGTAAGAGAGGGGTGATTTTACCCATTTGGGAGCCCCAAGACCCTTCCTTTGGGGACAAAATTGCTAGAGCTACTGTGTATTTTGTGGCCATGGTCTACATGTTTCTTGGAGTCTCTATCATTGCCGACCGGTTCATGTCCTCTATAGAAGTCATCACGTCTCAAGAAAAAGAAATAACCATAAAGAAACCCAATGGAGAGACCACCAAGACAACTGTTAGGATCTGGAATGAGACGGTTTCCAACCTGACCTTGATGGCCTTGGGATCTTCTGCTCCTGAGATTCTCCTCTCAGTAATTGAAGTATGTGGCCATAACTTCACTGCGGGAGACCTCGGTCCTAGCACCATCGTGGGAAGTGCCGCATTCAATATGTTCATCATTATTGCTCTTTGTGTTTACGTGGTCCCGGATGGAGAGACAAGGAAGATTAAGCATTTGCGTGTGTTCTTTGTGACGGCAGCCTGGAGCATCTTTGCCTATACCTGGCTTTACATTATTCTGTCTGTCATCTCTCCTGGGGTCGTGGAGGTCTGGGAAGGTTTGCTTACTTTCTTCTTCTTTCCCATCTGTGTTGTGTTCGCTTGGGTAGCGGATAGGAGGCTTCTGTTTTACAAGTATGTTTACAAGAGGTATCGGGCTGGCAAGCAGAGGGGAATGATTATTGAACATGAAGGAGACAGACCATCTTCCAAGACTGAAATTGAAATGGATGGGAAAGTGGTCAACTCCCATGTTGACAATTTCTTAGATGGCGCTCTGGTTCTGGAGGTTGATGAGAGGGACCAAGATGATGAAGAGGCTAGGCGAGAAATGGCTAGGATTCTGAAGGAACTCAAGCAGAAGCATCCGGAGAAAGAAATAGAGCAATTAATAGAATTAGCTAACTACCAAGTCCTAAGTCAGCAGCAAAAAAGTCGAGCATTTTACCGCATTCAAGCTACTCGCCTGATGACCGGAGCTGGCAACATTTTAAAGAGGCATGCAGCTGACCAAGCAAGGAAGGCTGTCAGCATGCATGAAGTCAACACTGAAGTGGCTGAAAATGACCCTGTTAGTAAGATCTTCTTTGAACAAGGGACATATCAGTGTCTGGAGAACTGTGGTACTGTAGCCCTGACCATTATCCGCAGAGGTGGTGATTTGACCAACACTGTGTTTGTTGACTTCAGAACCGAGGATGGCACAGCCAATGCTGGGTCTGATTATGAATTTACTGAAGGAACTGTGGTCTTTAAGCCTGGTGAGACCCAGAAGGAAATCAGAGTTGGTATCATCGATGATGATATCTTTGAAGAGGATGAAAATTTCCTTGTGCATCTCAGCAATGTCAAAGTGTCTTCTGAAGCTTCAGAAGATGGCATACTGGAAGCCAACCATGTATCTACACTCGCTTGCCTTGGATCACCCTCCACTGCCACTGTGACTATTTTTGATGATGACCACGCAGGCATCTTTACTTTTGAGGAACCTGTGACTCATGTAAGTGAGAGCATTGGTATCATGGAAGTGAAAGTATTGAGAACATCTGGAGCTCGAGGAAATGTTATCGTTCCCTATAAAACCATTGAAGGGACTGCCAGAGGTGGAGGGGAGGACTTTGAGGACACTTGTGGAGAGCTTGAATTCCAGAACGATGAAATTGTGTAAGTTCTTTTTTATATATATACATACATGTGGTTGAGTGCATTTGTGGATGTGAGAGTGCGTGCATGGTTTTTTAAACTAACTGGCATATAAGGTGTGAAATAGTTATTATACACGACTGCTTTCAAAATACCAATCCTTGCTTGTGTGCACTTCTCAATATCCTCTATACACACAGATCTTAATTTGACATCACAATTTTATTTTTACTTTTGTGCTGTTACATATTTTAAGTACATTATAGACCATGATAGAATGAGTCTTGTGACACAGTTTTCCAAACCACTTACGATGGGTTGAAAAATTTGTATTGTGTTTTGAGTCACATAATATACACACAGAAAAGGAATATTTAAAACATCATGTTAGGTCCCTAACTTCATTACTGAGTACAGATTGGGAAAGCCCAAAAAGGAAACATCTCTGAAAAGAATTTCCTGACTACCAGGGCTGGCTGAAACTATTTCTACTGTTTTTTATCTGACATTGTGTTTTTGTGACAATATAGGATGATGTTTCTGTTTAAATGCTAATGCTTAATTATGACTTAATGACCAATCCTGCTTTTTCAGTTTTATGCCAACGTGGGAAAAGCCGTACAGCTCTTATTTAGTTCCAGTCAGATTTTACTTTAGATGATTAAGCAAACACTTTTACCCTACTGATATAGCGATGGGGGGAGAAATAAGATTCTGTCCAAGCATCCTAGTTGACAGGGAGCAGTCAGAGAAAAAAAGTGGGATGGGAACAATTTACTCTTCGTATGGGCACTTTACAGTGATACTTGCCCACATTGTAACACGCGGAGAGCCTGCTTGTGCAATGATTCTTCCATTGACAGCTGCTATTTAGAGAGCTAGTCCTCCTTCCTTGCCTAAGAGGGGGCATTGCATTCATTAAAAGCAAACCAGAAAATTTGACTTGATGAGCAATGTCCAAACTAGAAGGAAGGAAGAAAGGAAACCATTTATAATATCTGCAATACAACAAAGGACATTAAAATGAATGATTATGTTGGTTGACTCAGAGGCAACTTAGGTATTTCAGGAAAGAAAAGAAGTATATAAAATACAGTTAGTTCAAAAAATAGTGAACTGTTGTGTAAATGGCATGTGATAAGTCAAATGGCAAGTACGTTGTCTCCAAGGTGAAATTTCTCCCACTGAAAATGTAGGGAAAACAAACACAGAAGTGTTGTGGGATGGGCAGAGGGAACAGATTTTCCCAAAAGAGCCTTCCAATGTCTTTGCATCTCTTTGATGTTGTTATAGAGTGAACAATTACTGAGTGCGACATAATGAAATCAAGCAAAGCAGAGATTATAATATTCATCTTCGGATGTGTGTGTATGGGGATAGCTTTTGATGAATATCTATTTTATGTTGGTTCTTATATAATGTTCCGCTTATTGAGATGTGCTTTGTTGGGACACTTATTTTACTGAAAGATAGTAATATAGTAGGAAATGAATATCCTGCATACCCAAGGAAGGATTTTCCCAAAGGCCTTGCACTGAATATGATCCTGCCCGTGTTAACACACACAAACTTTATTCCTTTGGTAGGAATTCTGTCTCATTATATTTTCTAATCATTTCAGTTATTGAGCCCTCTTGAATTAGATAGCACTTGTAATCCATGTAAAAGTGTATTACTTGTTATTAAAGGAATATTGCAAGTTATTAAATGAACTCACAAGGGTAGCCCTCAAATCTGACCAAATTGGTGTTTTGTTTTGTTTCTTCATTTTACTTAGCATGTTTTCTGATGAAAATTTGATCTTGCTTTCTCTTAAGAATAATGGCTCTGTAGTTATTTATTAGAGAGTCAGGTTTTCCCTATCTATTCTGCTATCCAAGACTTTTATCAAACCATAAATAAATAGCCTTCTTTCAGGCATAGTGTAGAAGAAGAAGAAGAAGGAAAAAAAAAGAAGACTGGCGGTGATTTGATGGAATAATTTTTTCTGCCAAGCTCCATTTAAAACATTCATCCTATGCCATTAAATTGATTTAATTCTTCTAAGGAAGGACTATTGCCAAATTCCAGCTTTAGAAATTTAGATATCCCATGAAAATTGGTAAGAATCAGTGGACTTATCGGCATGCCATCTCTGAATATGTGTTTTTAGGAGTATTCTAGATCAATCACCAGTTTCTAGTTTAATAAAACTTTTACTGTATTTTATTTGCTAAGTTGAAATATGAAATTTTAGAAATGGCAAAATATTTTGTTTGTAAGTTGAATGAAATTACAGACCTACATTTTTTCTTCTTTCTAAAATTTTAATATAAAACAGTTTTCATTTTGATGTTATAGAGTGTTACCGTTGATGAACTTTGTAGATGCTTCATAGGTCTACTGCTTGAATAAATTTGTTTGGATGACTGGGACTTAGCCTTAAGCTAGGTACCAAGGATTCGAACATCATGTTTATAGAAAAATATAATATTATCAAAGATCCCTTATTCTTTTTTTTTTTTTTATGGATCATTTTTCCTCTGGTAGCTGTTTCCAATGCCAGGTCCACAGACAGCCAAGTGAAAGAGAGTTTGTCATCATGCAGTGAAGTTGAAGTATGTAGACTCAACCCAATTTATCTTTAAGAATGAATTTATATCTCATCCAATTACAGAGTTCATCTCGAGAGATGACTTTCTTAAAAACATAGATGGGGCTGTTGACACCACTGAGCTTTATTCAATATTTAAAAACAATATTTTTGGGCCGGCCTGTGGCTTAGCGGTTAAGTGCGCGCGCTCCGCTGTTGGCGGCCGGGGTTCGGATCCCAGGCGCACACTGACGCACTGCTTCTCCGGCCATGCTGAGGCCGAGTCCCACATACAGCAACTAGAAGGATGTGCAACTATGACATACAACTATCTACTGGGGCTTTGGGGGAAAAATAAACAAACAAATAAATAAATAAAATATTTTTGTTTGTTTGTTAAATGCTGTGCATGAAGCCAGTATTTATGATTCTTTCCAGAGCACCATAAAGAGATTCCTGGAAAAGCCTGGATTTAAAGCCTATCTAATTTTAAGAAGCCATTAACCAAGGTTGAAATAGGGTCCAATCTGATTAGGGATGGAGATCAAGAGGCAGTCAACTTTATTGATTCTTTGGTTTCAACAACAAGATAGATTCCTAATGTTTGATCTTATTTTTAGTGTGGAAGAAGTCATTTAAATTTGTAATATAAACATTTTTGTACCTATTCATTCATATTTTTACATAAATGAGTTGAATTATTTCAGCTTGACCTTTTTTAAGACCAAATTCTGTATTTGAGAAAAATATTGATAAATAAGTGGTGCTTGTAGTCTCTAATAAAATGTATCCTCGGCAAAACATTTTAACATTACAATGCAAAAATTCATTAAATAGATATAATTAACAGCACATGCTTTTGTATAAACTCAAGCAATGACAAATACTAAACCCATGCCAGCTAATCTTAACTTTTAACGGGGAATTCTGTCCAATGTTAACAGCTAATAAAAAATAAATGAAGAATATGCTCATTTGATTTGTGGTTTGGTAGGTGATGTCCACAAACTTGAAGTGCTACTAACACTGTTCTTTACTGATGCTAGTTTAGTGGTAATAATTATTACAAAATGTTGTTTGGTCTCAAAAGGTCTAACATTAGGTTGACTGTTCTAGAAAATGTTAAAGTTAATTAACTACAGTAGATACAAATCAGGTTTAATTACTTAGTTAAAACCCAGTAATAATATCATTTTTGGAAGATGACTCAAAAGATCATGAGCATTTGCTATTATATGTTTACAGTATATAGTTGAAAAACAAAGTATGTAGGTTGAGAAATTTGCATAATATATTGCTTAGCAAATCAGTTTACTAGGGATTCCTAGCCACAGCATAATTTATTAAATAATAGGTCTGTCCAAAATTAATTTTGTTTTAACAACTATTACATTTTCAAGTATGGTTGTAACTTCATTATCTCTAGGAAATACAATATGCAAGACATCTCAACAAATATAGCTCTTTGACACTGAATATTTACATCACTTTTTTTGGAAAAAGAAATAGAAAAGAAAATTTCAAGATGATATAGATTATATGGAATTATTATTATTATATTCCAGGGAAAATAAATACTTTGTGTTTGCTATTTATGTTGCCATTATTCTTCTCTTGCTCTATATAATTCCAAGGACTAAAGACCTAGCTATATGAAATAGCAATTTAATTCTGAGAGTAGAACAAATATGTAACACAAGAAAGCAGCCATCTATAAAAAAACATGAACCAAAAATATTAAGAAAACTTGAAGTGATCAGGACAGAATAATAATTATGTGTGTATGAGGGAATCAGAAATGATGAAAAATAGTAGAGAAAATAACTTTAGGCAAGAAAGGCCATTAGTACATAGTACCTTGAATCCCACATATTCAAGATTTACTTTATGGAAGAAGAATATTATCTGCTACATTTAGCCTATCAAAATGATGGAAGCGTGGTATTTTATATTGACATAAAATTATCCTAGGTAATGTGCTAATGTAAGAAATTTAGTTGTAATAATTTTAGGATTTTAATGGATTGATTTCTGCTTTGGTGGGTTATCTTTTCAGACTGGAATATTTCTCTCTCAGAATCAAACCACATGTAGTATCATCTGCAAATCTAGATTATAACTACAAGAAATGTTTTTATAAATGTATATGTTTTTATGAATGCATAAGTATTATAAAAATAAGACAAGGTAAAAGCCAAAAAGGAAATTTATGACTTCTAATTCACTAGTGCCAGGAGCCTAAATTGATTATGTGCAGAAGGGTTGTTTACCATGTCAACCAGATTGCCATGTTTGCTGTTGTAATCTCATTTTTCCACTGCTAATTAGAGTTTGGGGCTATAATATAGTTATGTAAAGAAATTTTATCTTAGCAAATGAGGATATTTCATAGTTTAGACACACTGAAGTGTTTATGTTATGGGCTCTTTTCTGAGTCGTCATTCAAGGC